CAACGATGTGACCTGAGCAGGCTATGCTTGAGTCGAGCCACCCTAAGGCATTTGCCAAAACACATGCGGGATGTGGGGAAATGCGATGCAACCCAAAGTCGCAACGAACAAGGAGACTCACAAGTGCAGCGCAGCATATATGACAAGTGGATCAGATCCGGGCCGTCGGCCTGTGCAGAGCTCTGGTGGCCCGGGAACAGAAGGCTCGAGATAAGCGATCCTGGTGGCGAAGTGCTCGAGGTGCCCGGGGTGTTGCCAACTTTTTGCTCAGGTGTCCTCGGTGGTCCTGGCGAACGGGGGGTCGATGTTTCGCGAGCTCCTCGCCCGGACCTGCTTCTGCGACGACGCCGGGAGCGAGAAGCTCGAGACCGCTTGTGCTCCTTTTTGTCCTTGACATAGGACTTGGTTTGCCGATGCCGAGGTGAAGGGGGCCTGTGACTGTCTGGTCGAGCAGTGGCAGTCAGGTCAATGTCCACGCCATCCACTGCAAGTGCCGGGCGCGACAACGCCGAGAGGACGGGCAGCTCGGGCTCCAGACCGACCACTTCCATCTGCTTGACCACGTCACCGCTGCGAAAGGACTGGTGGAAGGAGCCCGGCACGGTAAGCTCTCCATAAGAGCCGTCCTTTAAGTGCACCTGGATGGTGTCGGCAGTAACAGCCACCACTGTGCCCTCTGCCAAGTCGGACTCGCGGAGATAGGTAGTCCGCAAGCCGGGGCCCGGAAAGGCCATGACCCGCATGGATGGGCCTTTGTCCTTCGGCATGGATTTGGCCTTCACGGGCTTGCCAGTTTGGGACCTGAGGGGAAGCACCTTCGGTGTGGGAGCAAGTCTGGGCTCCGATGGCACGGACGAGGCCGATCCGGAGACAGGCGGGTCCCCATCCTCGATGAGCACCTCTTCGGTCTCCCCGATGTCGTTCTGTGCAGCCCCCTGAGGGACCTGGCCAACTCGGTCTTTGGCCTTGGTCTTGGAGCCAGCTCGCGCCTGGTCGAGGAACGGTCGGATGTACATCGTGAGGGGGGGCGGTTCCCGTCCCATTTGATGTAACCCGCGAGCTTTATCTCAGAAGAAGTAAGCCTCCAGCGGGCCGGTGGCAGCTGAAAAACCTCCGGGTGGGTCCTCTCGAGGAACTCGCGGTCGGCAGGATGTAGGTCCGTCCCCGTGCCCCTGGAGGCCGCCTCCGCAGGTGCACGGCTGAGTTGTCCGGGCCGAGCTCGTTGTCTCAGGCTCCGCTGCAAAAGGCCCATTCTCGCGAGACTAAAAACCTCAGGCCTACCAGTCCCAATAAGAGCACCCCAAAAGTCTGAGCCGGCGTGCCAGATGGAGCGACGTGCAGATGTGGAACAGTGCAAGGCAGCAGTCGCATGCAGCGGCAGTGCCATCGAGGTCCGGACACCAGCCAGGCAGGTGGTCGCGTTCACCATAAGGAGGAAAGTGCGATCGCAGCCTGCAGGGTGTGTCCAAGCATGTGCGAGGACAGTTGGGCGATAGCCGGCCTGTGGCCTCTTGCACATGACGAAGAGAACCTGATGGAGGATAGGCTGGGCAAAGGCGGGGTAGAGTAGCGGAGAGGAAGCCTTGCTGTGGAGGGTGGTGCGGCCATTTTTCCGCGCTGCAGGGCCGATAGCAGACATCCACATCCACAACGGACCAAGGAGCACAGGTATTGGCTCTGGCACCTATTGGGGACTCTAAGCTCGGCGCGCAGTAGCAGCTGTACTGTTAAAGAAATGCGCTGCCGCGTATCGCATGAGGATACCGATGGGTATGGCACCGAGGACCCGGAAGTCAGCTCTGGTAATCGAATCCCAGCCCGGAGGCGGTGGTAGGCTGCGTCCCTCCACCATGAAAGAAGCAACGGCCGCTTCCTCTGCCTCAGTGGCTGCTGTGGCAGTTCCGGTGCCAGGACGATTGACAGGCATAGGCGGCGGAGGACCATTGCGTGCTCTAGAAGATAGGCCTGTCCCCGTCGAAGCGCGAGGAGCAGCAGCGCTAGCTGCCTCGTCTGAGGAGTCCTCCCAGAAGCGAGCTGAGAGATCCGCGAGCTCAGCACTGTCGGCATCCTGAAAGTCATCTGGGGCTGGAGCTGCTGGAGGCGGGACGTCAGAGGAGGAAGAGCCTGACGATAAAGACGACTGCCCCGGCCCTGTTTTCGCCTTTGCTTTGGAGCGGCTAATGGTGGAAGCTGCCGGCCGTTTCCGGGGAGCCATGTGGGGCCGCCAGGTGAGCAAGAGCACCGTGTGCAAAGCAGGGTTTCCTTGAGCTCACAGCAGCGGCTGGATGGCACAGAAATGAGTGCAGGAGAGGCTTGGAGGACACAAGCATGCACGCTCAGTGGACGGAACGGCCGAGAGCCTGACCAAAGCAGGGGCTGTGCAACCGTGGCTGCAGTGAGGGCCTGAGACCGGGCACAGGCCCGTAGATTGCGGTAAGGCCGTAGTAACTGCAGAATTGGTCGAGCTCCAGGCGAGGACACCTCCAGCCTGAGCCAGGCAACTGCGTGCGTGGGCACATGGTGGTCACGGCTGAGGTGCCGGCAGGGTGTGGAGACGGATAGATGGAGTCCGCAGTCTACGGTACAGTGTGCATACAGAAGAGCCAGTGCTGCTGAGACAGAGAAGCTCTCAGGCAAATGCGCGATACCCGCGAAAGGCCTGCCGGAAGAGCACAGAGAGAAGGCAGTACAGACTTTTACCAGGTCCTGATGCCCTAAGGTGGTCGGCAGCAGCCGGCTAGTCCATGGTCTCCAGGGCCGCCACTGTTCCATACGGCCTCCGCACAAGGGATGGCGGGCAGACCATACAGTCAGGGCTGGGCGACAGGAGGGCCGCCTGTCGGGATATGCATAGCGGTTGCCAGTGGCTGAAAATGTGGAGGTCGAGAGCCAGCGGGCAGGCACAGTCATGTCATCCAACCGAGAATGCAGCTGGATCTGGCTTTTAGCCAGCGATTGGAGCTTGATCCTGGCATGCATTGTGTCGACAGGGGAAAGCACCTGAGTTGCAGACAGACCTGATTGGCGGTTGCAGAGAGGCTTTCTGGGTCGGCACAGACCAGTGTGGCTGGCCAGACCAGGTGTTGCCGGATGCAAACCTGAGGGGAGCAGAAGCAAGCTGAGGTCCTGCCTGAAGCAAAGCACTAGTAGGCTGCAGACAACTGCGCGACTGATACATCGACCGGTCCTGGCTATGAGTTGCCCTTGCCAAAGTACGTCGTACCGAGATCTCTGACGATAGTGGCCTTGGGCCACCGGCATCTTATTGGAGCTGCTCGCGCTGGTGAAGGGGTCCGTGAAGGTATGCAGAGCCATGGCACAAGCAAAGCCCTTCCGAAGGAGAAGCGCGAAACCCAAGCCCAAAAGCACCGGCCGAAGCCCGAACACCGAAAGACACCGAGGAAACACACCAAACCCAGAACAGGGGCACCCTGCTGCTGAGCCTTACATACATACATACATACATACATACATACACACATACATACATACATACATACATACATACATACATACATACATACATACGCATAAGCATAAGATATATGCAACAACACATACAGTACATACAACACGTAACGTACCATAACAACAAAACAATACAATACAGTGCAGCGCAATGCAATGCAATGCAATGCAATGCCATAGATAGCAATGTAATGCACTGCAATAAACACAATACAATATTGGGGCTGGGCAGCACTTCAACGATGGTTCACAGAAGTAGTTGACCCGCGATGCGTGTTACGTGGTGGTGTTTGTGGCGGAGCCCTGTAACCTTTACTTTGAAGACTTCAACACCACAGCCGAACTTTTTGTAGCTTCTTGGATTCGCCCCTTCTCCACCGTGGTGCAGTCTCCATGCTGCAGGCAATGGCTAGCGGTAAGCTTGTCTTCATACATCTTGTTGCGGGCAGGCCACATGCCCTTAATTGGCCAGCCGTTTATCCGCTGTTTACGCCCGTCATGGATTGTGCCTCTCTGCTGAGAAACGCCAGTGACAGACACACAGGAACCGGAGACATGCTAAGCTATCGAATCTCTCAGAGCTGAAGACTGCGCTCGCACTCTTTTCCTCCTTGTAAGTGGCACTGCGAAACGTCAGAGATCCTTCGTGTCGCCCCGGGTGGAAGGCGGCTTCCAACCAGCGTTGGCGAGTGCCGCTGTCGATGCGAGATCGGGTGGACTTAGGAGCCGGACGGCCTGCCTCTGTCGGGGCCGGCGTTGTGAAGCATGGCCAAAGCTTCGTCCCGGCCTCGAGCTCCTTGCTGAGGGTGTAGCCGCAGAGCTCGAAGTCCTTAGCCCTCATCGGCTGCACCGGTGCATGTAGACGTTAAAGCCGACCCTGCCTGGACCACTTGAACTCGGTGCATTTCGTCCAGTCCACGCGGGTCCACCATAAGCGGGGGCGGTGCACAACGCCCCAGTCACTGGAGTCCAGAAGGACGGGCTCGCAGCGCAAGCGCTGCGAGAATTAGTTGATATCCCCGCCGCAAGACATCACCACGTTTTCTACGAGGATCACCATGTCCTGGCCTCTGAGGAGCAC